ATACTACACATCAACATGATATATACTGCACATCAACAGGATACATACTACACATCAACAGGATACATACTACACATTAACAGGTTGCATACTACACATCAACATGATATATACTACACATCAATATGATATATACTACACATCAACAGGAAACATACTACACATCAACAGGTTGCATACTACACATCAACAGGATATATACTGCACATCAACAGGATACATACTACACATCAACAGGAAACAAACTACACATCAACAGGTTGCATACTACACATCAACATGATATATACTACACATCAACAGGATACATACTACACATCATCAGGATACATACTACACATCAACAGGATACATACTACACATCAACAGGATACATACTACACATCAACAGGAAACATACTACACATCATCAGGATACATACTACACATCAACAGGATACATACTACACATCATCAGGAAACATACTACACATCATCAGGAAACATACTACACATCAATATGATATATACTACACATCAACAGGATACATACTACACATCAACATGATACATACTACACATCAATATGATATATACTAAACATCAACAGGATACCTACTACACATCAACAGGATACATACTACACATCAATATGATATATACTACACATCAACAGGATACATACTACCCATCAACATGATATACACTACAAACCAGTAAAAGTCTGAAATGGCCTATATTTGTACTCGACTGAACTGATTTTTACTCGACCAGTCTGAATTGGTCTGAAATTTACTTGATATTACTCGACTGTAGTCTGAACCATACTAAACAGTCTGAACTTGTACTTGACCAGTACTTAACCATTTTATACGAGTCTGAACCATACTCGACATAGTCTTAACCATTCTCGACCAAGTCTGAACCATGCTCGACCTAGTCTGAACCATACTCGACCTAGTCTGAACCATACTCGACCAAGTCTTAACCAACCTAGACCTATTTTTTGTATCTATCTATATTATTTTTTCATTAATTTAGGAACTGTTATTCATATATATATATATATATATATAAAATGTATATCACATTTAAAATTAAAATAAAACAAGGTGATCAAATTTCTGGTTGGATTAAAAAAATATCATGTAATAAATTAAGTTCGTTAAATGAATTTTCATATACATGATATCATGTTCACATTGATTTATGCATCAAAAATACTATAACTTTCAACCATTATTCAAATATCTTAAATGTTATTCAATTTTTTTTTATCAAAATATATATAAAATAGTATATAAAGCAACTTAATAAATGTTAGAATTGACACCTTTGTTTTGTAAAATCAAAAATTTAATATAATAATAATAATAAAACTTTCATCTTTTTATCCTTGATAACCTTTTAAAAAAGGAAATGTATTCCAAAGTTGCAGTAGAAATTTATTTTAATTAAATTTAAATACGTTTTGTCAAAATTAAAGACATGGCATACAAGAAGCAGTTTAATAAGGTTTAATGGTTTAATTACCTCAGTACAGGTGTTTTACAGGTAAAAAGAAAACCATATTTTCTTAAACTCGTGTATTACTTATCTAGTGAATTCAAAGGCCTTGTTATTTAAGTTTTACAGGATGTTGTAATTTTCAATGGATGTTATTTAAAATTTATTACTCTCTGACCAGGTGTGATCTTTTTAATCAGTGTGTGTCAAGCAGGATATATTACTTTATAGTTTACCCCTAATCAGAAGAAAAATTTTATTCATTTCTTGAATTTTTTATCCCTTTTAAAATATATATATATATCCCAAATTATGAATAGGAATAGATATATTTCTGATATAAGGTTAAACAATGTCAGTGATTTTGTTGGCTGTTGTTACCTCATGAAAAAGATAGTTATATAACTATTGTATATAACCATGAAACCTAAGTACAGAAAGTCACAGGACAAAAAGTCACAGGACAGAAAGTCACAAATTTGATAGGACAAAAAGTCACAAATAATTTGTATACAATTGATTGAATATTTATGAGAAAGATCTTGAAATGTTTACTTTTTATGACACATATTCATTTTACAGTTTAGGAAATTGTTCATAAGACTTAATTTGATAAATAAAGATTTATAAAATATTAATCATGCAAAGGATATATTTCTTGGCACCATGAAGCCATTTAAGTACCAAGACATTGTAACATTTTGTTTTCTTAACAATTATTTGATCATTATTGATATTGTTTCAAGAAAAATACAAAAATGTTTTTTTAAAAATAAGTGTTCTATTGTTCAAAGAAAAATAACCTCAAAACTGAATTGTGACTTTTTGTCCTGTGACTTTCTGTCCTACATTCGTTTTTATTTAGGAATTTAGGAAAATCAAGTTTTGTTTAAAAAAAAAACACATGCCAAACAAAAAGCACCTTATTTTTAATAAGGTTTTATTACCCTCAGTATAGGTGTGGTTTTCAGGTAAAAAAAGTCTTTTATTTAACAAGACTCAGACTTTAAAATAAGATAATTTAACTATCTTGATTTGCCAAATCTAAGAGAATCATGTATTATTAAAGAATGTAAAAAATGTTTTTATATATATCTTTATTTAATTGTGGCTGTTGTCATATAAGTTAAAGAGAAAGTTATTTAAACAATCAAAATTATAAAGAAGAGGTTATTTGGTCAAGTATGGTTCAGACTGGTCGAGTAATGTTCAGACCTTTGGTCGAGTATGGTTCAGACTGAAAAAATAGGTCGAGAGCTGGTCGAGTACTGGTCCAGACTGGGTTAAGACTGTTTCAGACTGGTCGAGTAATAGTTTAGACTATTTTCAATAGCAAAGATAAGGGTCAAGTACTAATCAGTACAGTCGAGTATGGTTAAGACTGGGTCGAGTAATATTAAGTAAAATTCAGACCAATTCAGACTGGTCGAGTAAAAATCAGTACAGTCGAGTACAGATATAGGCCATTTCAGACTTTTACTGGTTTGTAGTGATATACTACACATCAATATGATACATACTACCCATCAACATGATATATTCTACACATGGTCATTATGATGTGAACTTTTAAAAGGTTTTGCCAAATTGCGATTTAGACCATGATTTCCCAGTTTACAGAGCATGGAAATGTGTTTCTGTTCAGACAGCAATAATGTATAACATAATCTGTTTTTAGTAACTATGACCTTGACCAAGTGACATCAAATCAATAGAGATATATTCGACTACCCAAGTAAGTTGCAGTTCCATATGTAGTATTTGAGTAAGGATCCTAAAACCACTGTTCTGAGCAAATTTCTAAAAAATAAGTTTTTCCTTGACTTTAGACATACTGACCTCAAAATCAATATAGATCTGCCTCTTGTTTTATGTGACAAGACCATATATCCAAGTAAGTTGAAATCCAATATGTGTTATTTGATTAGCATGTTAACCCCTTTTCTGCATAAATTAAGGTCTATATCTAGTGCCTAGACCATGACCTTGAGGGACCTCAAAATCAATAGAGATCTTCCTCTCATTATATGTAACCATGTATCCAAGAAAGGATGCAATCCCATATGTAGTAGTTGATTAAGTATCTGCACACATTTGTTGGTCTATTTTTACTTACCTTGACCTTAGCTTTGAGGTATTCAAAAAGAAATCTTCATTATATGTGACCCTATATCCAAGTATGGTTGCAATCCAAGGTGTAGCACATGCATTTGATTAGCATGTGGAAACACTTTTCTGCACAAGTTTCATACTACTTTTAGTAACTACAACGATGACCTTTGACATAGTAACCTCAAAATTGATAGGGATCTTCCTTGTATTATATGTGACCATATCCAAGTAAGGTTGTTATGTGATCTAAAGCATTTGAGTAGGCATCTTGAAATGAAAACGACTGATGGACTGACTTATATGACAGACTGGTTAATAAACTGCTTCGCTGAGCGCAGCTGGATACACCCACAGAGGTCCAACCCTGAACAGTTGGGGCAAAAATGGACACAATATTCAAGCTTGATACACGTCTGAATTTGGATTGTAATTAAATATTTGACATATTATAGGTTTCTGAATAAATGTAGTCAAAGAACTTGAAATTGGTTATATGACTTGAATTGAATTTATATTCAATTAAAGATTTCTTGCTGTTGTGCAATACACTGTGCTGTTGCGCAACTTAGAAAATCTGTTGTCAGACTATAAACAAAGAAAGTTCAATTTCTTCTCAATGTCATATTTGAAATTTATAAAAATCAATCGGGACATTACATCAATAGCTATAAATAATTCACCAAAGTTTCATGAGAACAGCTGAAAGCATTTTTCAGTTTTTGTCCGAAAACTGGAAAATCTCCCTTTTTTTATGAATAAAACCCTGTAACTCGGAAACGTTACATCTAAAATTTATAAAAATCCAAAAGGGAGCTCATGTCAATAGATATAAACAATCCACCAAAATTTCTTGCAAGTTGGTGAAAGCGTTCTTGAGTCATTGTCAGAAAACTGGAAAATCACCCCTTTTTTAATGAACAAAACCCCAAAAATCGGAAATGGTAAATCTGAAATTTATAAAAAACGAAAGGGAGCTAACGTCAATAGATATAAACAATTCACCAAAGTTTCATGCACATTGGTTAAAGCTTTTTTGAGTTAATGTCCGACATGTTGACGACGGACGGACGGTCAATGGTATACCATAATACGTCCCGTAAACGGGCGTATAGTAACTTTAAACCAAGTCAGAAAAAATATGTTGACTACAACTAACTGGAAACTTGATTAGTGTCTCATCAAATAACTACAAATACTTCATTCAATAAGTAAACACAAATATTCAATCTCCTGTGGTAGTCTAGACAACTGCTGTATTTTTGAAAGACAGACAAACAGAAATTGATATAATCTTTGTCTACCACGGGTCATAAAATTACAAATCATTCAAAAATATTGAAGTTGATAATTTTAATGAAATACAAATGAATACTTCAACTGTGACAAGAAGAACAAACAAAAAATTAGACTCAAAATTTATTCAGAATTCATATTGCCCTTGTAATATATATGTACAAATTTTAGGAACAAAACTTACAGCAATTTTGATAAATATAAATATTTAAAACAAAGAATTTCATTGGCTGACTGAAACCAGTGACTTCATTGGCTGGTTTCTTACAATAAAAGCACCAATCAAACCAATCTCAATTTGAACTTTAAAATATAAAACATGATTTTATATGTGCAAACAATGAATCAGAAAAATAAATATGGAACCTTGACGTATCATGTTCAAACAGGCAGCAACTTGGGAGGGAATGTCTGGTGTATGTCAAGGTCATTAATCAAGGGCAAATTCTTAGGAACTGAGATTCTTGTATTTTTTTTAATATTAACTACAGAATACAGTGAATTTACCATGAAGACATTATATTTATAAACTGATGTTTAAATAGACAATTTGGTGTTTTTAACAACTACCCCATAAAAAACAACAAATTTATGCCACACAAAAGACACAAACTGAATTTTCTTTTTTTTTCAAATTTTGCAAGCCTAAAGGTGAAATCTTATACTTCAATATACCATATATGCTTAGAAATCACAGCTGTAAAATTAAAGTAAATTTAGAATAGAGGCAAATTACACAAAATATTAGAAATTTGATGAAAAACTTTTTTAAAGAAATAAATAACATATGTCAAACCTTTGCCAAAAAAGATATTTTAAACAAAGAAGTTATTTTCTACTCACTGGGAATAAAACTATTTTTGGTGTTAAGTTTGCTACATGTTTTACAGTTTTACAAATTGATTGACAATTGTGATCAATAATGGTATCCCACACCTATGCATTTCTAAGCCTCAAAACACCTTTTCCTTGGAGGGGTACACAAATGAGAATTAATTGATGGAACTAAAGGATACTAAATGTACTTTTTTTTAATTCTTGCTATCTTCAATTTACTGTTAAAACTGGATGTATAAAACAGTTTACTGCAATTGTAAAAATAAGCTTTGACATTGAAGACCATATTAATGCACCAATTACAATGCACAAGCTATATTTTTAATTTATAAAAATTTCAACTCAATACAGTTCTATACAAGTGGATATTCAATATCCTTGGATTTTGTTGTACATAAATTTTTCAGGTGTCCAATGAAAATGGACATGGCTTTAGAATCATAAAGTATTCTGGCATATAAATCTGCACTTGCATCTACATATACAATTCATGATATAAATGAAAAAAAGGGCAAAGTTTTTTTCACATGACATACATGTAAATAATTAAAACACAATATGATATAAATAGCTGATAGTTTTGCTTGACAATAAAACACTAAATAATGGGATTAAAACCTAACCACATTCCAATCTAATGGTCATTGGATTGAGTATGGAGTATACATGTCTCAAGGCAAGTTTTAAGGCTATGTAATAATGCATTTATTTATTTCTAGATTTCCATTCTTTTTCTCATAACTTGAGATTTATTCAGTGTCTTCTAAATCTATTTATAGGTTACATATTTTACTTCCCTTGCTTATAAGACATTTTATTTTAGAATCCAGAAAGTAAGATTTGGACACTGTATGATAACCTGTAGATGTCTATTTGTTATTTGTGTTTGGTTGCCGTCTCACTGAAGAGTATCTCATCTTTTTTCGTATGTACATTACATGGATTTCCCCATTTCTATTCGTTCATTAATTTGATTTCAAGGGTATCTAATTTTCAAACAACTTGTGAAATAAATATTAACAAAAATACATTATTTCACTTTGGTTATTTAGTATTAATATATCACAAATAAAAACTAACACCTTACTAGTTTGGTTTTTTTTCAAGTTAAAGGTCAAGGATATTTTTCATACATCCTCTGTCAAGTCAGGAGTAAAGGATTTTTTTCCTTTATATTTATGATTTAAACAGACTACATATTTTGTACTTCTTTTTGTCTAGCATACTAACAATTTTTATGATATCAAAACTAATGATGTCAAATTGAAAATTTCTGCCACTTGAAACAAAAAATTGAATTCCTGATTTCTCCTATCTGCAATGATCAGGATTTAACATACAATTTTAAAAAATGTTGATAATATAAAGAGAATACCTTGGAATGATGAGGTTAAAGTATCTTGTTTACAGTCCCTATTCAAATCTTAATACATAAATAATAAATTTTTAAGAAAATTTTAGGCATATATGCAATGATCAACGTATATTTTCTATTGTTTTTTTCGGGTGTTTTTTTTTCAATACAAAAAAATGCTATTCTTTAATATCAAATTCCTCTAAATATGCAGCTCCTTATATAATTATGTTATATTTATATTAAATTTGCAAAGGGAAGTAATACATGTGAGCACACTTCTGTATAACTAGAAATCAGTTATTGATGAAAATCTACTGAAATTTGTAACGCTAGCCTTATGACGCTAAAATATGAAAAAAGTGAAATGACATGGAGAATCAATTACTGGAAATATAAATGGATAAAAGATGTATTACCCCAAAGTAGCCTCTTCACTGATAGTGACAAATTCCCATTTTCCCTCTATTAAATCATCTGTAATTAGTTTTAATCTTTGAATCATTTATTACTATACATAGCACTAAACTGTGGTGACATATATAATTTATATACACTTTGATAAAATAGAATTTCAAGTATCCCTAATTCTGCCTAAAAATTATTAATATTTCTTTTTTCAACAAAAGCTATTGTGAATTCTTACTTTTCATTCGACAACTACAAAACTTCGTCAAATTAAGAATTTCTATATTGCAAAATCATTTCCCAAAAATACCAAAAATTTAATAAAATGTTTGGAGATCCAGGACTTTCCTGGTACTATATCAGGAAGACATAAGAATTTCTGCCAGGTTTATTATTATGTATTATTGTGTTACAACATTTAAATGTCTTAGTCATTAAATCATTATATGTTTAGCAGTCAAAGTTACTGATACTGACATCATTTTTAGACAAATATGAAAATTAAATGTTTTTCTAAACCATGGATTTGTCTTACTGTTAACTCCTACTAGAGTTCTTCTAATGAATAACAATAAAACATAAGTGTGATGATATCAAGCATATGAAAATACAAAGGGCTGTTCCATAAAACATACATGGAAACCAAGGAAGGTAACCAGATTTCAAGATATACATTTTAAACTTATATTGTAGGACTTTATATTTCACGCCCAACCTTAAGTGTTGAAAATTAATATGTAGTGTGGTTATATATATATATCATGTATATACTCATGGAAGAAGAAATAAGAAAGAAATATGGGTCAAATAATTTTATAATTTTAAACATTTTTGTAGATTATAGGAAAATGTGCTAGAATTTAAGAGTGCTTAACTCAAATGTGGACTTAAACGTAATAAATATAAAAATGTCCATAAATGTGATAGGATAGGCATCAAATTTTTGGGTAGGAAACAGAACTATATTTTTGTTTGGCTTTATCTTTAAAGTGTCTCTCCTTGATAACATATAGGTTTTAATGGAACAGTCCTGCAAATATAATCAAATTAATTTTCAGAACAAATCATCGGAACATATTTTTATAATCAATTGTAAAATAAAAGCAAAAGTGGTAGAATTAGAGAGAACCCTTGTTGCTGCTATATATATCTGTTCTATAAATAAAATAAACAGTATAAAAATAGTTTCACTTCCCCAATTAAATGGTGGATGACATACACTCCACCTATATTTAATCATGTTATAAAGACAAATAATGAACAAATGAGTATGGTTGACACAGGGCAATAATCGCGTTGAACACTTTAAGCTGTGTGTCTGTGTTCAATCACATGACACAGCATGGCTTGTTGTGGCCGTTTCCTTTCTGTTTGAGTCTTGATTTAGGACGGTAATGTTCCAAGAAGGCAAGTTGCTTTGCATTGATTGCTCCTCGCCTTTTTCTGAAAACAGAAATCATTTCTTTAGTATTTAGCATACCTTGAAATCATAGAATCAGAAACATCCATACATTTTAAATATTTTTTTTTCCTCGTTTATATATTTTTCGTAATTAAGTAATCAACTGTTGCTGGTTAGTGTGGTCTGTAGTAATGTCAAATATTTTTGGTCATTCCTGTTATCATCTATGTATTTTATAGCTTTAAAGACTCCCTTACTTCTACATATATTCTTAAATATTACCCTTCAACATCATACGCATCTTAACTTATTGTCAACCTTAAATATTACCCTTCAACATCATATTCATGTTAATTTATTGTCAACCTTATTATTTCTTGACTTGCTGATATTAAGTGACTTGGATATAGAAAGTTTATTTCAGCCTATCAGAGAATATATATAAAATAACCATACATTGTCTCGAAATATAAATTTTATTTGTACAAGGCTTAGAAACAGGTAGAAAGCAAGGCTTTGCAGAGTATTTCTATCCTGTTTTGAGCCGAGTACAAATAAAATTGACATTTGGAAACAATGTATGGTTATTCTTTATATACTGCAACTCCTATAACTGTTCCAAATGAAATATTTAGGGTAAAAACCATCATTTATTTATTTGAAGCGGAAGACGTAAAATTTCCGTGGACCTGTATTGTTTATTGACGTCATAAATAAAACTCAACGTCATAAACAAGGCGATAAACGATCAATGCAATTTGACTGCGCAAATAGCACAGCTGCAGTATATACAAGAATATCACACTTTTAAAGGTGATGTTAAAAAAAAAGTTTTAATTTGTAATTTTTCCGATTTTCTGAATGCGCAAGACTAAGGCCCCTGGTCTTCACTGGTATTATTGGTAAATGAATTGTAATGTTACGTATTAATTTTCAGTCAATGTTTTAGAATAATTCTTATTAAAATGAAACCTTAAAAATATTCACAATAAGAAGGAAGCACTGAGTAAACATAAATTATGATCCTGTTCTAAGGGCATCCTACATGTCAGATATAAGTTTTCTTCAACTTGATCTATTTAACTTTTCCTCATTTCCTTATAAAAAAAGTTATCAAAACAAAAACTTAAATGTCTTCTTCCTCTTCCTGAGAAGTAGAAATGTAGGTAATATCTGATACAGTTAAAACAGCATGTCTATAACTTTATGTTGACTACTAGATGTCATTTGTAGGTAATATCTGATACAGTTAAAACAGCATGTCTATAACCTTATGTTGACTACTAGACGTCATTTGTAGGTAATATCTGATACAGTTAAAACAGCATGTCTATAACCTTATGTTGACTACTAGATGTCATTTGTAGGTAATATCTGATACAGTTAAAACAGCATGTCTATAACCTTATGTTGACTACTAGACGTCATTTGTAGGTAATATCTGATACAGTTAAAACAGCAGGTCTATAACCTTATGTTGACTACTAGACGTCATTTGTAGGTAATATCTGATACAGTTAAAACAGCACGTCTATAACCTTATGTTGACTACTAGATGTCATTTGTAGGCAATATCTGATACAGTTAAAACAGCATGTCTATAACCTTATGTTGACTACTAGATGTCATTTGTAGGTAATATCTGATATAGTTAAAACAGCATGTCTATAACCTTATGTTGACTACTAGATGTCATTTGTAGGTAATATCTGATACAGTTAAAACAGCATGTCTATAACCTTATGTTGACTACTAGACGTCATTTGTAGGTAATATCTGATACAGTTAAAACAGCACGTCTATAACCTTATGTTGACTACTAGATTTCATTTGTAGATAATATCTGATACAGTTAAAACAGCATGTCTATAACCTTATGTTGACTACTAGATGTCATTTGTAGGTAATATCTGATATAGTTAAAACAGCATGTCTATAACCTTATGTTGACTACTAGATGTCATTTGGTTTTTAGTTGTTTGATTCACATCTCATTGACATGTAACCCTCTTTTCCTTTTATTAATATTTATGAAGTCTTCATGCTAACCACAAGACCACAAGCCCTGGCTTGTAAAATTGCTTTCGGGCTTGATAAATTCTTCTCTACAAGCCAACAGAATCCAACTAAAATTTTGGAAAAATTGAGCTCCAGGCTTGTGGATTCAAAAGTTTATCGTGAAGAATTATATATCATTAATGGTTTTTAAAACGAAAGGGAGTTTCCTGGTTAAAATCTTATCGAAGAGCAGCCTTGAGATGAGATGTAGCCCAGACACATCCTTCAGTTTGAAAGCCAATTGATAATCTGTTTATCACTATTTTCCTAGGCAATGTCAATGACGTAGTTTTATGATGTCATACATTCTCTTTCTACTCGACTGAGAAAATTCAATATTACAGGAGCAACGTGATATGGAAAATTATTTGGCACAAAAAAAGATCAAAGGAAAATTTGAGAATATAGGGATGATTTTATTCATATCTACTGTATACATACTGTCTGATGAGTTCTACAGCATCTTCATATAACATTCCACATTCAATTAATGCTAATGCTACCAAAACTGGAGCTCTGAAAATATAAAATATAGTATGAATTATTTAATAAATATCCAGTTGTATGAAGTTCCTTCTTCTTAAGAGTACAAAATGTACTAACTAGCTGGCTTCCTAATGTAGGGAATACAATTATACTTTGCTCTCCAAATTATAAGTACCGGTAGTCTTTCGTTTCTTTGTTCAAGATGATGATTGCTGCCATTGCGGGTTTTTTATTGTGATTTATTTACAAAACATATGGTCTAAATATGCAAAGGGGGGATTTTGTGCGCAACCCCACCTCATTTTCAAAGTCAGTCTATCTGGACCATGTGTTGTTCATTGTTGTCTTACTTTAATTGTCTGTTTTTTTCCTGAGAAGTCAGGTTTTAGTGGTTGATGTGATTTGTGTACTGTGAGGTATTTCAGACAATTATTGATAGAAATACCTTTCAAGTATTATAAATACAACACATGAGTAAATACTTTTGCTCCATACTAGGATTTTCAGATTATTCCAAATTAGTCACTTAGTGTAAGTACCACAAAAATTCTTTTAGACAACATGAACTTCTGTTACTGCTATGGTAAAATGTATTATCGAATGATCTAAAAGATGACAATTTATCAGTTTCCCATGAATAATAATCTACATTAAAATCAGATTTTTACCTGCCTAATCCTGCTACACAATGTACAGCCACACAACATCCTGGTTCCTCTTTAAACCTTGTTTTAGTATTTACCTGCCTAATCCTGCTACACAATGTACAGCCACACAGCATCCTGGTTCCTCTTTAAACCTTGTTTTTAGTATTTACCTGCCTAATCCTGCTACACTATGTACAGCCACACAGCATCCTGGTTCCTCTTTAAACCTTGTTTTTAGTATTTACCTGCCTAATCCTGCTACACAATGTACAGCCACACAGCATCATGGTTCCTCTTTAAACCTTGTTTTAGTATTTACCTGCAGAATCCTGCTACACAATGTACAGCCACACAGCATCATGGTTCCTCTTTAAACCATGTTTTAGTTTTTACCTGCCTAATCCTGCTACACAATGTACAGCCACACAACATCCTGGTTCCTCTTTAAACCTTGTTTTAGTATTTACCTGCCTAATCCTGCTACACAATGTACAGCCACACAGCATCCTGGTTCCTCTTTAAACCTTGTTTTTAGTAGATTAATCCATTCGTCTATAACTTCTCCTGGTGGTGGATTACCATCATCAAACTGCCAGTCCTACAAAACACAATCATCATAAAATACATAATTATCTTTTGTCATTTTATACAGATAGGACTCGCAACAAGTGATGTGCTTTTTTCATGCATAATATAATGAACAGCAAGCATATAAATAATCTTACTTGAATATCTAGAACAGGACTTAAATCTATCCTCTATGCTATTACATCCAAAATCATCCCCAAATCCAAAGAAAGTCATAATAAACACTACAAGGAAAAGCAAACAAATCTACAAAATGACACTGAGAGAAAACCAATGTTATTTAAAGGGAGATAACTGAAGGTGTTACCATATATACTTTTTCAAAAAGCTTAGTAGAAGACTGTACTGGAAAAAAGGGGGGAATTGCATATAGTTTGGGAGCAAGGAAAGTGGAAATATTTAAGTTAGCAGGAGAAACATGTAATTATGTTCCTTTCCTTTAGTGACCTTTTGCTGACTGACCATTCTGATATTAGATAAATATATAAATTATTACCTCCCCTACTATGTCTTAATTCATGTTCCAATATATATATTATTTACTAGTTTTAATACTGAAAGTTTTTCAACTTGAAATTTTAGTTTAATTGCACTTAAATGTTCCTCAGTCATGTCAGTGCAAATATCTTATTTAGGAATCCTCATTAAGGACTTCCATTCTTAAGAATACTTCAAATGAAAGAACCTTAGTGAGCGCGCTCACATACCCCACGTCCCCACATTGTCATTGGAGAAATAAAATAAGTGTAAGAAAAAAAAATTGTATCAAAAAAAAAAATTGAATCATAATTTCCTGTCAATATGCACATCTACGTAGTATGTCCTTATTATCTGAAAAGGTTTCATGAAATTCTGTTGTGTGGTTTGAGAGGAGTTGCGATGACAAAAGGTTGCAGTAGTATATTGGGCAAATAAGTTCAAAGGGGCGTAACTCCTGGAAAAAAAAATTGAATCGTAATTTCCTGTCGATATGCACATCTACGTAGTATGTCCTTATTATCTGAAAGGTTTCTTGAAATTCTGTTGTGTGGTTTGAGAGGAGTTGCGATGACAAACTGTTGCAGTAGTATTTTGGGCAAATAAGTTCAAAGGGGCATAACTCCTGGAAAAAAAATTGAATCGTAATTTCCTGTCGATATGCACAACTACATAGTATGTCATTATTATCTAAAAAGGTTTCGCGAAATTCTGTTGTGTGGTTTGAGAGGAGTTGCGATGACAAGAAACAGGACTGACGGACAGACAGACGGACGGACAGACAGACGGACGGGTCAAAAACATTATACCCTCCGCAACTCGTTGCGTGGGGTATAACAAGGAGTGATTTGAATGTGGAATAATTTTTAATTCTGGAAAATTGATAAGAAATGTTTGATGAAAACTAACCCAACAAAAGGGGGGTAAGTTAGTTCATACTGAAATATCAGTGAAAGTAAAATTAACCTTAACCATGTGTGCATGGCTAACCCTATTCAGTTGGGTTAGTTTTCATCATACATTTCTAATCAATTTTCCAGAATTCAAAATTATTCCAGATTCAAATAATTCCTTGTTTTTAGATCTTGTGCTAACTTGCAACATGTGCATAAAGACTTCTTTCGTGTCTTTCCTCAATAAACCCTCAAAATGTATCCTGAATTTTGTTTTGTTGATCATGTTGATAGTATAATTTGTCATGCATTTTCCTTTATCAGATGACTTTATCAATACTGACATACGCACTAGGATATCCTTGTTTACATGTAATTTCTGTGCACCTTTGTTCTAATAATGACTTTAATGTAATCCATAAACAAGAAGAATTGTTGGACTACCGGTGGACCAGCCAGGGGAACACCTTGGAGTACGGGTAGTTGACCAGCCAGGGGAACACCTTGGACTACCGGTAGTGGACCAGCCAGGGGAAACACCTCTCTATAACAACATCTATTTTCTGTTTCACTTCTATCCAATATAACATTCATCCCATTAAATCTATTCTGGAAATAATCAATAATTTCAATTATCTATATTGTCTTAATCCCTACACCATATACATGAATAAGTTGACTTACTTCCAAGTATAATCAATGTTCAATTTTATTTTGTTTACATTACAACATATTTACATTCAGACAGTCTTATCCTGCGACATTCTATGACAAAAATAGAATTTTAAATATGTCATCAAAACAGTTCTCTTATGTACCAACGCATATTTTGTTTAACTAAATAGACTTCAAATCTTTAATTCAGACAATTTGTGGAACATTTTGTAGTAATAAATAAGAAAGTGTCGCATATTCTGTATAAAATGCTACGCCGGCACAGATTGATACGACTGCAAAGTTCAAACCCTGAACAGTTGGGGCAAGTATGGACACTACATTTGAGCTTAATATAAAAATAAGAAGATGAGGTATGTTTGCAAATGAGACAACTCTCTACCAGAGACCAAATGATATAGAAGATAACAACTATCGGTCACTGTACTGCCTTCAATGAGCAAAACCCATACCCCATAGTGAGCTACAAATGTATAAAAGGCCCTGAAATAACAAATGTAAACAATTCAATCAAGAAAACTAATGGCCTAAAAACAAACAATGAATGAAGAAAAGCAAATATGATATACAGCAACAAATGACAACCACTGAATTACAGGCTCCTGACTTGAGAAAGGCACTTTAGTCGCAACAATTCTAATATCAGGACAAATTAAATCTGGAAACTCCAACAAATAATGTCCTTTTTGATAAACTTTATTATCAACAGAGTACATTTGTACCTTCAAGTAACTTTTGTTTACATAACTTTTTAAGATGCTCATAATGTAGTTTGGTAAACAAAATAAAGACGTAAATTAACATCATCCATTTTCTGTCCGAATTATCAATATAGTTATGAATTTCAGAACTTTTCAAAGTCGTGACCAAATTATTGCTTTAGTTATTTCAGAACTTTTAATACCCATGAACTGTATACAATAGTTTCAACATGCAGGTGACAAATCTTGTTTACATAAGTCTATAATCTCTCATTGATTATCTACCAGATGAAATATATGGCAACGAATTCATGTTATCTGATATCAACATAATATATTGTCCTTTTATGCCGTATAATTATAAATGTAGATTTTCCTTCTGTTGTGAATAGATTGAATATATTTCCCAACTCCAGATAGTTAAGTTTAGATTTCACAATTCAAACTTGTTAGCCAAACATGAGCCTGTTCAAAGAGAGTGGAGATACTCTGCAACTCATGAGCAAACAGAAGGAAAATTTCGATCTTATAAATATGTTTTGATGTTTTTGCTATGTAAAACTTACAATCAGATAGGACAGCAATCATGACAATGGCACTGTTGCCTACAAAGCTTTCAATAACTTAAAATCATAATGAGCTAGTTACCAATCTAGTATCTGGAATTACTGGTCTATTGTGCCAGGCAATTAAATTCACTTGTGGTAAAAATATCCTAATCACCTCATGGCATGCATGGCCTGGCTTTGTTTTGAATAACATTGCCTAACAATGGCCTAACAATCAGACAAAAAAAATCAATGACTGGACACCAAAAATTTTGATAAGATGACTTAAACCACTGAAATAGAGAGAGAGAGATCTTTCTCAAAGTAAAGTTTCCAACTTTTAAAGTTTCATTAAACTTTTAAAACCAATTGCAAGGCTTTTTCACCATATTCAAGCCATTTCCACAAAAAGGTATGTAACAACAATATCTAGAATGAGAGGATATTGTGCAAGCTTACTCTCAGTATTCCAGCTTGTATCTCAGGGCAGAAGGTGCTTAGTTGACTGAAAGGGCACTTAAGCCCAATCAACCACTTACCAGACACTGCTGGACTATGTAAATGACTTTGACACTGCTGGACAATGTAAATGACTTTGACACTGCTGGACAATGAATGACTTTGACACAGCTGCTGGACAATGTAAATGACTTAAACACTGCTGGACAATGTAAATGACTTTGACACTGCTGGACAATGTAAATGACTTTGACACTGCTGGACAATGAATGACTTTGACACAGCTGCTGGACAATGTAAATGACTTAAACACTGCTGGACAATGTAAATGACTTTGACACTTCTGGACAATGTAAATGACTTTGACACTTCTGGACAATGTAAATAATTTAGACACTGCTGGACAATGAATGACTTTGACACTGCTGGACAATGTAAATGACTTAGACACTGCTGGACAATTGTAAATGACTTTGACACCGCTGGACAATGTAAATGACTTAGACACTGCTGGACAATTGTAAATGACTTTGACACTGCTGGACAATGTAAATGACTTTGACACTGCTGGACAATGTAAATGACTTCGACACTGCTGGACAATTGTAAATGACTTTGACACCGCTGGACAATGTAAATGACTTAGACACTGCTGGACAATTGTAAATGACTTTGACACTGCTGGACAATGTAAATGACTTAGACACTGCTGGACAATTGTAAATGACTTTGACACCGCTGGACAATGTAAATGACTTAGACACTGCTGGACAATTGTAAATGACTTTGACACTGCTGGACAATGTAAATGACTTTGACACTGCTGGACAATGTAAATGACTTCGACACTGCTGGACAATGTAAATGACTTTGACACTGCTGGACAATGTAAATGACTTCGACACTGCTGGACAATGTAAATGACTTTGAATATGCACTTACTACAGAATATAATATAATTTTCAGCATTTTTGACAAATTTTATTGGATTGGCACACTCCCTAAAATTAAAATTACTTATATACAAAACCTATGTTCCACCAGAATGAAAAGATAACATGTAGAATTGCACTGGTTCAACTCACAAAGCTGGAAATCAAAGCACGAAAGCGCTGTAAAGGCAGTTAATTACAGGTTGTGTGTATTTTAAGTCCAGTTATATCATTATCTTGCATAGTACAGTGTACTTATCAGAGGTGGCTTTCAGTATTTAAGATTTAGAGTTCTCTAATGATATTGAATAAGTTTTATGAATGT